GGGCTCTTTTCCCCTGAGTGCTTTCCTTCTGTTTGCCCTGTTTCCTTCTGCAACTCATGGTTAAACCATCATGGGATGTCATCAGTGGGAAGAACTTCATAAATTAGCTTTAAACTTTACTTTGGCAGAGAAATTCTTCCTTCAAAGTAGGCATATAAAGTAGAGTTGCCTTGGTGCCTGGCATATAGTAACCTATTTCTTTTTTAATGTATGTCTAACATTTTAGCTGCTCTGTTGGGAAGGGGTACCTGATGCCTCACGGAGGTATCATTAAGTACAACCGTGCCCCTAGGTTTCTGAAATGCTAATTAAAGGATACTGGTCTTATTCTAGTAATGGGCTTGACACCAAAGAGGCAATGATGTTATATTTGGGCTAAGCCTGTACCCCTTTTCTTTATAGTAGGTGGACTGATTGTAAGCTCCTGCCTTAAAGAGTTTGTGTACTTCCCTAAATCCCTAGTTGGTGTTGCTAAGGACTCATGTAAATACTGGAACCACCTGCCTCACTAAGTGCTGTGAGCACTTGGGTCCTGACTATTCCTGGGTTCACCTAGGAATAATACTGTAGAATATTTTGGAAGGATAAAATGCTTATTTAGCTTTCCATGAGTAGCTGTATTCCCAGACCCTAAGTAAGAGCATATACTTACACCACATTACAGAGATTGCTGCTTAGAGTAAGGGTTGGTATTGCATGGTGTCAGAAATCTGAGATATTTATAACTTCATAATCCTGTTACCATCTTTACTTTGTTACAAAGTCACTAAAAATCTGCATTCTTAGATTATTTTGTTTCTTCATTTGCAAAGTGTTCAGCATTTCTTAACTCATTTGTACATTTACTCGTTATTGGTAAAATATCATGATTATATGAAATGGTCAATCAGTGGCAAATCCTTGAAACATTAATTAAATGTCATATCTTCTTCTTGCCTATCTGAAATAAGAACAGTTCACTAGCATTCACTTTTTTGCAGGAGGTGGGCAAGACCTTTCTTTCTTTTTGTATTTTTGTTGTAAGGTGTATAAGTTGCCCCTTCTCAGTTATTATCTAATAATGCTTTTCTACATTAACTTTTTTCATGGGCAACTCTAAACGCCTCTTAAAAATCAAGGCAAAATTCTAACCACTGGTGCAAACTCTCAAGTATAGAGTGTCTGAGGGGATATGTGTGTTTATGTACATGCATCTGTATATATGAGTGCAAAATTAGGGCCATCTCCCTAAAGGAGGAAAAGCCAGCCTTCCGGGTGAAGGCAAAGAGCTTTCCAGGGATTAGGAACCGCAGAGTTTCTTGGGTAGGAACAAGTTGCCTTGCAGGAGGGACAAGGCGCTGTCTAGATGGTGAGGAGCAGGTGATGAGGTCGGAGAGTTAGGAAGGGATCAATCACATCAGAGGAGTCTTTCTCAGCCCCCTTCTTAGGAACAGGACGAGAATTGAGAACCTATAATTGCTTTCTCATAGAATATTGGTTTGCTTCTTTCTTAAGACCTTCTCTGGAGACTTGCCTTCTCCAGCTTCAGATGAGCTTCCTCTTCTCTGACTCTTACGAGCTTCTGAATCATACCCTGGCTCTTCTCTTTCATGTACAGCCTGCTTTCCCCCAGCATTAGGGGCAGAACACTTTGTTTCATTTTACCGGGTTAAAAAATAATAATAATTTAACAAATGAACCCATGTACATGGAAGCTAGCAGATACTATCTAATTCAGCTTTATCTCATTTGTCATTCAAGGGTACTGTCAGATACTTATTTTCACTTCCTGGGTTTTTTCTTCTCAGTTTGTTTTTTGAGTTTTTGCCTCTCATTAAATTTCTTTTTACTGATATATAATAGTTGTACATATTTTGGGGGTACATGCTATATTTTGATACCTGCATATACAATGTGTAATGGTCACATCAGGTTGAGATATCTGTTACCACAAACACTTATCTTTGTGTTGAGAACATTTCAAATTTTTTTGCAGCTATTTTGAAAATACAATAAATTACTGTTAATTACAGTTTCCGTACTGTTCTGTTGAATATGGAAACTTACTCCTTCTATCTAACTATATTTTTACACTAAGTTAAAACTGGTCTTGTGAAATCCTGGTTTGTTTAAGGCACTGAGACTAAACCTATGGCTGTATATGCTATTTCTGTAGCATCTTTATGCTTCTGCCATGAATTGGGTGAAGACTCACATTTTCACTTTCTTTGTCATAACAAAAGCTTATTCCTGTTTCACAGCTGGAATCAAGTGTTAGAAATTTAGTAGAAATGACTATGAAAATCTATCTAATACAGTATTTATTAACTCACTGTTATGGTTGAAAACACTAATAAGTTGATCCTGTTGACATCACTGAAAACTGTCATTAGCTTTACATACCTAGAAAGAAGTTAGCCCCAGAAGATGTCGTTTCTACAATTCCCTCACATAGTACCGTCAGGTTTTGCCAGGCTACATTTATTTGTAGTTTGTCATCCCTTTCCTTCTCCATTTACATACTCTGTATAGAATTTCATCGACCAGTTAGAAAAAAAGCATAAACAAATAATAAAACATTGCCTTTAAGAAGTTCAAGAAGTTACTTATTTCAGTAAGTAACTTTCAAGATTTTGGCAAAATCTTATAAAAAAACATGAATAATATTTCTGTTAATTGTTCAGAGATTTTTTTCAGTCTCTGAACCAAATTCAAGCATCCTGTTAATGGATAGCGTTCATTTTTCTTATTTTATTCTCCTTCAAAGAGCTTTAGATTTTACCTTTCTTGAAGAATCTTCTTCTTTCCACCCACAATGTTTTTTTTTTTTTTTTTCTACAAAGTGCATTATGTGACCATGGTTAAATTAACTAGATTTTTGAAAACATTTTTTGGCCCATATTACAAAGCAAAAGAATATGCCTAGAAAGGGACAACAGTGGTTTGGCATGTTGTCAAGGTAACCAGCCTTAAAGTTTCCTTTAATTTGTGCTTTAAATATTCCTGTATGTTATATATAGAATCAGACCCAACATCTTTCTTCAGGAAAAAAAGAAATTGGATAGGAATAACTGTCCAATTTGCTGTTGCAGTCTGTGCAGCCATGAAGCACTGACTGATGAGGCCCTCCCTGCCCCCTGTGTTTAGTTGAGAGGGCTGGCCAACATGAAGCCACACCAGCAGTCACTCAGGAAGTAGAAGGCACTGAACTCACCATTTGGCCTTGACCAAAGTGAGCTCCATCTTTTGTCAGTCTGAGAATTCCTGTGTTAAGGGTATTTAATAAAGTACAGTGTGAACTGCTGTGTTTTGTATTCTACAAATACATTGAACACAATAAGGGACATATTTTTAAAAACTGATCCTGATTTTTCTGTGTCTTTTTACAGTACGTAAGAATCATATATATCAGTTTTGGGATAAAAGAGCGAAGAATGTTATTGCCAAAGTTTTCACTGATTATTTACATGCGTTTGAAATGCCACATTTTAAATATCTAGCAAACTTTTTAAAAACTTCTTATTTAAATGAGGTGGCTCATTGGGTCTGTATTATGATGTACTCATGTATGTTTCAAAACTTCATTCAGACAGTAAGACGATTTTTGTGTGTTTATAACTTTGATCATGGGGATTTACATAGGAATTTTTTAGCATATGACTCCACAATTTAACTGGCCTGTAGAGAACTCTGAAAGAATGAACATTTCATTTCATTCCCACTTTTCCAGGCCTTTTATCATGCTAAATCACAAGTCAGGGACCTAACAACGAAATCCTTTTTGTATCTGGGTTTAAAAGGTTTTAAAAGTTGAACTTCATGCTCTTTACAGTGGAATATGCACTGTAGGTGCCAAATAAATTTAAGAGTAAGGTTGTGGTCTTTCATATTGCGAATATGAAGAGATTTTACTATCTGAGATTGTCACATTCCAGCAGTGACGTCACCAAGTTGTGTAAGGATCGTTTTATGTATCCAAACTAAAAATCACAAACTTTGAGAGCACAGATCTATGCCTTCACTTGCATAGGCTTACAGAGTCTCTATTATGTGGATCTAATGGCATGTGTTCATAGGAAAGAATTTTAATCACAATTTTAACCTATAATGTGATGTGTCAATAAATGTATATTTGGATCATTTGTTTATTTGTTAAACAAATGTGTATTGGGTACCTTCTTCGCTTGGCACAACATTAGAAACCAGGATGCTGAAAGTCAGTATGAACTCTCTGCCCTCATGAAGGTTACGACCTGCTGCAGAAGTAAACCAGCCATTAGAAGACAGTACAACAACCAGTGTAATAGAAATAGGCCTGGGAAATAGGAAGTTTCTTTCAGATGAGGCGAGACCTACAGAGACAACTGCATTTTCTGGGAGAAACCTGGAATGCAGGGGGCATTCTTGGCAAAAGGAACATCAAAAGTAAAGGTGTTGTTAAAGTGTTGCTGCTCTGGACTTCATTCCCCCTGCCAGATTTGTGATTTATAAAATTACAAACAATTGGGTTTCTGGTTAGTAATCCAATGGAATTCTGTGTTTCTGAATTACATTTTAAACAGCCAGGGTTCGGTTAATTGGTTTGCATTACTGCCCACCAAAATGGCAGTGTTCTGTATTTTTGTTGCAGAAACGCACGTTACTGTGGGATCACAGGGTACAAGCTGAGGCGCCCCAGGGTGGTAGTGTAGGACCTGTCAGCAAACCTGTACCCAGTCTTGTATTTTTCCTCCTAGCGCTTAAACTACAAAATTTCTTAAAGCATTGTGAGCTCTAATGTGCTATGATTTTAGGGGTTTAGAAAGAGGAACTGGATAAAGACGAAAAGGAGAGAGAGTACAAGTTGAATTTTAAAATAAAAGAGATAAGCTTAAATATTTAGGCTTTTTTTTCCCATGGGCCTTTTGGATGAAACCCATTTTGATTTTTCTACACCAAATTTAGGAGCACTAACTTCCAAGGAATGACTGTGCTTTTTAAAAACCATTCCTTCAAATTGAAAGATGAGTGAGTTGCCTTTTATGTCGTTGCACTCCTGAGAGCAAGATGGGTCACCAGCAGCTGTACTGGAGCCACCCGCGAAAATCCGGCCAGGGTTCTCACTCTTGTCGAATCTGTTCAAACTGGCACAGTCTGATCTGGAAATATGACCTCAATATGTGCTGCCGGTGTTTCCATCAGTATGCAAAGGATATCAGTTTCATTAAGTTGGACTAAATGATCTTCCTTCAAAGGATTATCCAAGACATCTACCATGAAAAACCATGATAGTTCTTTGTACATAAAATAAACATCTTTAAAAACAACAAAAAAAGATGAGTAAATTGTATATATTTACATATTTTGTTTTAAAGAAAAATTTATTTGTGACTCTTTACTCTCTTGACCACAGCTACTGAGGAAAAGGCACATAGGAAATGACATCGTCACCATCGTCTTCCAGGAGCCTGGGGCACTTCCTTTTACTCCAAAAAGCATCCGGTCTCACTTTCAGCATGTCTTTGTCATAGTCAAAGTGCATAATCCATGTACTGAAAATGTGTGTTATAGGTGAGTCAGTAATCTCTGATCTATCACTGTCCCAGATTTATGTCCATAGTGCATCTTTTCCCAAAAATATCTTTGTTTTCCAATTATTATATTTAACTTTGTGATTTTCTGATTACTCAGACACTTTCTGTAAGAAATAATTGCCTTCTTCCTATTTTGCCCTCATGAAAAAGTGAAATCCCTAGCACTTTAAAATGGTGGATTACACATTTCCTCTGTTTTTCTTTTAAAACCTTCAGTTTCTGCCAGAACCAATAGCTTAATTGGTATCTGCCTCTGAGTTGGGTGAAGTGGCTGTTTAAGTGCTTATCTAGGAGAAGTAAGTATTGTGGCAGTAAAACATTTCTTTTCATCAAAGACCTTGGAAACACTATTTGCTGGGTTGCTGAAACAAGGAGTTGACACTTGTTGGGTGACTTCAAAAGGCCATGTGTGTGTCTTGGACTCCCCAGACTGGCTCTGACAAGGCCTGCTTTTATGCTTAACCACTACTCCCAGACTCTGTCTTAGGAAATAACTGCAGCCGAATGATGGTGTCATGTGGGGTATTGGTAAAACAATGGGCCTTTGACCTGAGTTTGAAACCAGCTTTACCACTTGTCATAGGGCTTTGTGTGGGTTACTTTATTTTTCTTAGCATTTGATTCCTCATCTTAAAATTGAAGATAATGATAATAGCTACTTTAATATGTGGTTATGACAAATAAATAGCTTAAATTATGTAAAACACCTAATACAGTTCCTGGCATTCATCCAAGGTTATTTTCATTTATCGTCTTAAAACAGTAGTTTCCAATTCAGCTGCCCACTGGGCCTAGTTCAGAGACATGAATATTCTTTGTAAGAGAGTGAAGACTACAGCGCTTGCCCCCTAAAGGCAAAAGAGAAATTAGTCTGTATGTAAAAAGTTGCCAGTATACATCCCACCCTACAGATACCCAAGTGATCTTAGAACAAAGTCCGAAAACCAGCAGTTCTTACTCTGAATTTTGCTGCCTAGTCGCCTTGTTAAAAATAGCCCAAGTCTGTGGCTCTACTGTGCTGCGTTCTAATGCAGTACACCTGGCATCTCTATGTTTTCCTCCAAAGTCATTCTTACACACCTGGGTTTAGGACCACTGACCTAAATGCTCAGAACTACTTTTTAAAAGTGATATTTGAAAGAATATAGTATTTGCTCTGTACAAATGATACGTTTAGGTGCAAACGTGGTGAGTTGGCCTTTTTTCCTGGGAGCCCACCCGGTGAATGGTAATTCTGAACAGTAAAATGAACCTTCCTAATGGATTGGGAAAACTTAAGCATAAGGCTTTATTGTATTATATTTGGCATTATTTTATGGGTGGCTATTTTTAGGTCAAATCAATTATTTTAAATTACTTTCTATCTTTATGCTTATATCATGAGGTAATTCATTAACAAAAAAATTGTAAAGATAAGCAGTATCTAGTCACTGTATTTCTTTTAGGTTTTCTGGTTTTAATTAAATTACTGAGGCTATATGTTTATGAAACCAGTACAGAGATCTCTTACATATAAACAAAGTACATTGCATTATTTTTTCTATGATAAGGATAGCATATGCAAATCATTCAGAGATGGAGTCATTGGTTTTTAAGAAACCACATTGTTATTACTAAATTAACCTTTACTAATGAGATTCAAATATAACATCAGTTCGAGTGCCTAACATTTTTGGAAGTGCCTCATCAGCTTCATTGATCTTGCTTAAAAATATCAGTAGTATTTCTTAAAGAATCAGTAATAATCTTCAGTAATCCTGTAGTCAGATGAATTCCATAACATTTCATGAAGCTATCCTTACTCCTATCACATGGAATATGGTTGGCATGCCCACATTTTCTAAAAACACCTTAGTGGTCTGTTTCATGTGATACTCTTCTAAATATTCCAATGGAGAAATAAATTTATTAAAATAATTTCCAGGGAAATGATATAGTCCAGCTCTATAGTTTTCTTAAATTGTGCTATGTCCCAACCCAGAGATGTATTTTAAAGAAGACTGGATGGTTCCCACACACCCTGGCAAGCTCCCGTGAAAGCTGTTTTTCTCCTGAGCTTTGTGCGGGTGTTGAGTGGCAGCATATTCTTGCTGACAGGGACCCACAGTACCAATGCCAATTCATGAGCCTTACAGCTGTCAAAAAGGGCTGTGGGGTTGAGATCACCTCCTCTAATGAAACTTGTGCAGCCTGTCAGGTGTACCTGCCTGAGCAGAAGACCACACTCCCACCCTACAGAGGGAGTCAGGCCTCCCCCGTGAATGCAGCAGAATGCTCGAGCAGTCCTGCTGAGTCCACTGAAACGAGGAGAAATGAGGCAGCGCCCCCAAAGCCCCATGAAACATCTCGTTTTTAGCCTGAAAATTTTTAAAAAGCAGACATAACAAATTGCCTGTTTCTTTATAAAATGACTTGTTAATTTGTAACCAATGTTTAACTGAGGGATTTATGTTTTTATGTACTGTCCAAGATAAACTCTTTGCAAAATGCTCAGTAACGGAATGAGAATAGACTTGCTAGCTCGCAGAGAATTAAAAGTGGAGAGATATCTACAGAAAATGATGACTGCCATTTCTTAGAAAATTTAATATGTAACATCTGACAAAAATTAGGCGACAGAGCTAAATCTGAGAGTAACAGTGATAACAGCAACAATTTGGATAATAAACACTTTACATGCATTATTTTCTGTCATCCTTACAGTGGGCTTTTGGGTATGGTACTATTTTACCTTCCACTTTACAGATTGGCCAGTGAGGCACTGAAGGATTCCGTATTTAGCTCAGCCACTCAGGAGGTGGTAGAGCTGAATTCCCGTTACCCTACTCCAGTTTGCTCCAACACCAGAAGCCTTATTAAAACCCTTTCATGTGCATATTAAGGAATGCTTATCTTTCTATGTTTGCTTTTGCTGGAGGGGCCTTAAATATCTAAATCATTAATAAATGCTGTCGAATCATTTGGGTAAAATAAGGAGCTCTGATACAAGTTCTTGTTTCTACACATTGGGAATTATCAGAATCTGTCAAAAGAGTATTTCTTCTGAATTTGACTCTACTTGAAATGTTAGGAATCATGTGAGCTTTTGTAACCAATGATCTCTAATTGATTCCCATACCCAGAGTGTCATAACAATCATGGAACAGTCATGCTTACATTCTACTGTTTTTCTTGCACAACTTTGAGATGTACAAGAATACAGTTTATTAAACAAGAATATGGCATACATTGTAGAGAGAATCTCCCAATTAGATGTCAGGGTCTATAATTTGATACAAAAAGAGTTTCCATAATATATAATGGAGTCACTGTGTCTCTCTTATTCACTATGTGACACCACAGTGGAGCATATTTAGATATAAGAAACTTCCCCTGATACTGTAACTTAAGTGCATGCAAGGTGCAGTCAGAGGTTAGCAAGAGATTTGAAGAGTTAATGCAAAGAAGTAATACACTAGAGTGCCAGATGACATTTGGCCATCTCAGCATTCTGTGGGTCAAATACTGCTAGAAATCTGTACTCACTGTTGGAAGAGAGAACCAAAATTAGGAGCAGTGATATATTGGCTTATTCCCAGTATTTGCAGGGCAGGTTGCAGTGAACAGAGAGGCCCTTTGAGCTCATTGACAGTGAAGAGAAGAGAAGCCACAGGGTATGATTAGACTAATCACAAGTCTAAACAGGCAGCTTTGGGATCACTCTCCCAGAGTTAACATGGAGGATGAATTAATTCCCAGTCTTGAATGGCATCCTGAGGATGGTGGTAAGGGGAAAATGGGCCACACCTGATCCCTGGCAGCATCAACCTCTGTGATGTTTTTAAGGACCTTCCCTTCATGTTAAGGACATAAGTCAAGTTCCCCCACACACATACCCTCTTGTCTAGTATATATACTACCATAAAGCACCACCAGGTGCTATTCATGAGTTTGGTTTATCTGTCCCAAAGCAAAGCAGTCATTCCCTTCCCTTTCATCTCGGTGAAGGCCCCATCTAGCCAGCCGTCTGTCTTGCTGCTAGCGGTGATTAACTCTGCTGAAGAGGGTGCAGAGTAAAGCACAAGTGGGAGACACTGGGACCTATGATTTTTCTAAAGTCTAACCAACCACATTTGAGTAGAGGAGTTTGCATCTGACAGAACAAATTTGGATACAATGTTTTTATTCCTTAATTTACCTTTTTTAGAATTTTCTGTAATAACGAAAACAAAACAAAGATTGCTTCCTTTCTTTACCCCAACATAGAAAATATTAGCCTGGGCAGATGTGGAATTAGTACAGATTCTTGGTCTGTGGTAGCTACTAAGTAATTGGGGTGTTCCCAGTGCTGCCTATGATAGAGGGTCCATTCATTCCTTTACTCGTCTTAATCCTTCCTTTGTTAATTCATTAATCCACTCTATAATTTATCTTATTCAGAAGAGGGTGATGTAGGGGATCAGTATTGGTTTTAATAGATTAAGATGGTTTTTAACACTATATTAACACTATACATTCTATCTCTTCAATCCCTGATATGTCTTAAAATATTGCTCCCATAAAACCTTCATTTAGATATTCAAAATGTGATCAAGTAAAGTGAGCATTTCCTTAAAAAAAAGTGACACTTAAATTTTGGGTCCTTGTTAAGTATGATCACTCTGTCTCATGTCATTGAACCCCATGCAGCTAACTTGGGCTAAACCCACTTTGGTCGAAAGTGTGTTACTGTTTTTCCCAGTGATAACCAAC